CAGCAAAACTCATCAAGAAAAGATAGAGAAGTTATATTAAAAATAACAACAAAATGTATAAAATATTTAGGAACCTACCTATTAACACAAATAAGAATTATAGGAATAAAGCTGCCAAACACTCTTTATATGGAACAAGAACCTAAATAATTGGAAAAATAGTAATTGCTTATGGATAAACTGAACCAAAATAATAAAAATTATAATACTATTTAAATTAATTTATGCATTCAGTTCCATACCAATACAAATACTTAGATTACTTTACAGAGAAAGAAAATAATGAAATTAATCTGGATGCAAAAAGGTAAAAAAAAATCTCAAGAGAAATGATAAAAAAACAAAGCGGGAAAGAAAGGAGCCTAGAAGTATCAGATCTGAAACTATACTACAGAGCAGTAATTATCAAAACTATTTGGTCTAGTTAAAAAATAAAAAGTTGATCAGTAGAAAAGATCAGGTGCACAAAACATAGACAACAAATTGCTGGGAAAACTGGAAAGTATTCTTGTAGAAATTAAGGATAGACCAACATTTCACATCATATACAAAGATAAACTCCAAAGAGATCTATGACTTAAATGCAAAAGATCACATCATAAACACATTAGAGAGGCAAGGAAGAAAATACATCTCACAACTATGGATAGTATATATAACCAAAACAAGGGATAAATAAGATCACAAAAGCTAAAATAGCTAATTTTAATTATTTTAAACTAAAAAGTCTTTTCACAAAGAAATTTAAGGCAGTTAAAATTAGAAGGCAACTGTTAACTAAAGGGGAAAAAAATCTTTGTAGCAAGTTTTCCTAATAAAAGTCTCATTTCCAAGATACTTAAGGAACTGATAGAATAAAAACAAGAGTCACTCCCCAATAAATGAATGGTCATAGGGTACGAACAGACAGTTTTCAAAGAAAGAAATCCAAGATATCAACAACCATATGAAAAAATGCTACAAATCATTAATAATTGTTTTTGTTGTTTAGTGGTTTTCAGTTGTGTATGACTCTTCATGACCCTTTTGGAGGTTTTCTTGGCAAAGATGCAAGAGTGCTTTGCCACTTACTTCTCCAGTTCATTTTACAGATGAGAAAACTGAGTCAAACAGGGGTAAGTGACTTGCCCAGGTTACACAGCTAGTAGGTAAATCTCTGAGACTGGATTTGAACTCAGGTCTTCCTGACTCCAGGCCCAGTACTCTATTTACTCTGCCACCTAGCTGCCCCAATTTTAATGAATAATTAGAGAAATGGAAATTAAAACAGCCTTGACTTTCCACCTCGTGCCCATCAGATTGGCAAAGATAATTAAAGTAGGAAATAACAGTTGTTGGATGAGGTCTTTGGGAAAACTGGTACACTGGTGTACTTGTGAATTGTCTAGTCATTCTGGAAAGCAATTTGGAGCTATGCAAAAAAAAAAAAATTTGTATACCTTTTGACCCAGCCATACTGCTACTAGGCATAAAGAGATCAAAAAAAGAACAAAAGGACCTATGTGTATAAAAATATTTTTAGCAGTTTTTTACATAATAATAAAAAGCTAGAAACTAAGGGGTGCCTTAATTTGGGGAATTACAAATGAAATTATGGTATGTGAATGTAGTAGAATATTATTGCACCATAAATAGAAATGATCAGAGTTGGTTTCAGAGAAATCTGAGAAGACTATTATCAATTAATGTAGAGTGAATTCAGTAGAACTGGGACAACAATTTAAACAATAAAAACTCTGTAAAGAAAAATAACTTTAAAAGACTTTAAAAACTATTATCAATTAAATGATCATCCAAGATTCCAGAAGACCTATGAAGAGGCATGTTACTTACCTCCTGACAGAGATAATAGATTTAAGACACAGAAGGAGATATACATTTCTTTTGGATGTGTCCCATGTAGAAATTTGTTTTGCTTAATTGTACATATTTTTTAAAATAAAATTTAATCTTTTTTCAATTTACAAACATTTATTTTCTCTCTTCATTTACCTTCCCCTGACTGGGGAGAAAAACCCACACTAAGAAGCAGAGAGTCCCTACCCTCAAAGAGCTTACAATCTAACAGAAGAGACAACATGCAAACAAATATATACAAAGCAATCAGCTATATACAGAATAAATAGGAAATAATTAAAACAGGGAGAACACTGGAATTAAGAGGAGTTAGGGTAGGCTTCTTATAGAAGGCAGAATTTTAGTTGGGACTTAAAGGAAGCCAGAGAGGTCAGAAGTTGTAGCCGAGGAGGGCGAGTGTTCCAGGCATGGGAGATAGCCAGAGAAAAGAGGTCAAGAGGTGGAGTGTTTTATTGGTGAAATAGCCAAGAGGTCAGTGTCACTGTATGGAAAAGTACCTACTGGGTAGGAAGTTACAAGAAGACTGGAATGGTAGGAGGGGGCTAGGCTATGAAGGGCTTTGAATGTCAAACATAGCATTTTGTATTTGTACCTGGAGACAATAAGATGCCACTGGAGTTTATTGAGTAGGTAGGTGACATGATCAGACATGTGTTTTAGGAAAATCACTTTAATGGAGAATTGAGAATGGATTAGAATGGTGGATTGGAAACTTGGGGCAGACAGGCTCATTGCAATAATGAAGGTGGGAAGTGATGAGGACTGACACTAAAGCGGTGACAGTTTCAGAAGAGAGAAGAGGGGCATATTGCAGAAATGTTGCAAAGGTGTAATTGACAGGCCTTGGCAACAGCTTGGATATAGGAGGTGAGAGACAGTGAGGAATCTAGGATGAGTCCTACGTTGTGAGCCTGAGCAACTCAGGAAGATGTTGTTGCCCTCGACAGTAATAGGGAAGGTAAGAAGCAAGGGGGAAAGATGCCGAGTTCTGCTTTGGATACTTCGAGGACCTTATCATCTTATAGAGAACCTCTCTTCCATGGAGCTGGGAGGGCTTTGTTACTGTTCAAAAAGAGAATAGATTGGAGAGATAAACACAATTAATGATTGTAACTGTGAATATGAATGGAATGAACTCATCCATAAAACAAAAGACAATAGCAGAATACATTAGGAAGGAGAATGCAACATTATATTGTTTATAAGAAACACACTTGAAATATAAAGTTTCACAGTTAAAATACAGGGGTAGAACAAAAGCTATTATTTCACTTGTGTTCAATTCTTTGTGACCCCATTTGAGGTTTTCTTGGCAAAGATACTGGAGTGGCTTGCCATTTCCTTCTCCAGCTCAATTTATAGAGGAGGAAACTGAGGCAAACAGGTTCAGTGACTTGCTCAAGACGTTAAGGATTCTAAGATGCGTGAGAGGAGGATAAAATCAGTTTTAGATCAGAGTGACAATGTGTACAAAGGCAGGGAAACAAGATGGAATACTAAATTTGGGGAATATCTAGGAGTCCAGTTTGGCTGAAATAGAGAGGATGTGAATATCTGATTCATCTGATAGGTAGGTTAGAGCAGTGATATCAACCTTAAATAGAAAAGGAGGCCATTAAACTGTATATAGGAGGCAGCTAGGTAGCAAAGTGGATAGAATGCCAAGTCCTATAAGTCAGGAATACTTCCTGAGTTCAAATCTGGCCTCAGACACTTACTAGCTGCGTGATCCTGGGCAAGTTACGTAACCCCGTTTGCCTCAAGTTTCCTCATCTGTAAAATGAGCTGGAGAAGGAAATGGCAAACCACTCCAGTATCCTTGCCAAGAAAACCCCAAATGAGGGCACAAAGAGTCAGATATGACTATGATTGAACTGTACATAAGGATCTCAACGGACTTCCTATTGACTTAATTTTAAAAATGTAGCATTACCTATATTTCATTGTATTTTTATTTGTTATATGTTTCCCAATTATATTTTCATCTGGTTCTGTTGGCTTATGGGCATAGCATGTTTGATACCTCTGAGTTAGAGCCCTTGATGGGACACAGAACAAATCCCAAGACTGAAATAATTTAGAAAGAAGTTTATTAAGTCATCTGGCAGAAGGGAGAGCCAAAAAGGTCTGACCCACAGCCTGACACTGCCCCACCCCCCATCATCTGTAAGTTACTTATCATGTAGGATTCAAAGCAACAAAGAAATTGGCTAGCACAGGCATTTTCCAGAAAATACAGGGGGGGTTGCTTGAGATATATAGTGAGGCAAAATCCCTCATATTCCTTATATCAATCTTCAGTTCTGTTTAGAGTAGTTTTATAAAGTGATGTACATGGAAGGGTATGTTGTGCTGCAGCCAGATCATACTGGTTCTTCTGTGGGAAATATCTTATTAATATTGTTTGAACCTAGCATTATGTGTCTGCAAAATTGTCTAACCCAAAGCTTATGGTACAGCTCAGGTTGACGTCTGAGAGGCTTCTACTCCTGGGAAGTTGTATGGTTGCAGGGAATGCTTAGAGTCCACTCAAAACTCGTGTTAATTTGAATGTTTATACTTACTGCTGAAATATATCTCTGGCTGCCTAACTGCCTACATGTGACAGTCCTTTTGCTCTTGTCTAAACTCTATAAAATGTAACCTCACAAAAACTCAATTCCCTTTTTTAGGCTTTTCTCCTTTGCCAGTGACCCAATAAAATTTTTTCTAAAACTATTTCAGGTTTTGGGATTTGTTTTCTATTGAAATTTACCAATATTCTGGAGAGTTGTTAAATTTTCAGTGTAAGCATTTACACCTTAGAAATCAGCAAATGCTACAAATCAGGGGTTGAACTGTTTTGTTGATTCCCTAGACTTAAGAAAGTGGTGAAGAAAATGTTAATTGGGAAGAGCAAATTTAAAAGTGTGTCCTGCAGACACTGTTTTTCAGAGAGTCAGTTATTAAATATTTACCAGCATACCCAACTGTATGAAATAGTAGGTACTACATATTGCCAAATATAGAAAGGCCTAACAACTGTTCTCTTAAATATACATTTTGATTTCAAGTATATATTTAACAAAGTAAACCTTCTCCAACATCCATTGTAATTGTTTTTTATAGATGGAAATACTCTTATCACTAAAATACAAAACCCATCAGAGTAAAGACTAATTTTTATTGGATTTGGCTATGTGACTTTCTTAGTTGAAATACCACATTGACAAACACTGTTAATACAGCAGCTGTTGATACAAACTTACAGTAAAGAAACATAGTTCTTGCTAGCATAATAAAAATACAGAGAAACACACACGATTAAAATTAAATCCAATTTTATACTTTTTCAACACTTAAAACCAACCTCTTCCAGATTTCCTGTTAACACTTCCCTTTGTGCTTTCAGTCCAGTTAGAAATTACAAATGATTATAAATCTTAAGAAGAGTCTGATACAAAATTGTACAAAATTGACCAGACCTGTGAAAAATAACTACCCTTTACAAAAAACTGTAATTCAAGGCTACCAACATTAGTCATTTCCTGTTTTTGGCCTTTTTAAGTATTCATGGCAATTTTCTCTATAAAAATAACATATACTCAAACAGAAAGCTGTGATTTTTAAAATACGTTTTTTTTTTTTAGGTTTTACATTTCTTGGGTGTACAAGGGGAATTCAAGTAAATGGTACTTGTCTCCTTCCTTTGTTGTTCACATTTAACAAAACAAACAAACAAAAACCCAAAACCAAAACCCTAGAACAAACTTTTTCAATTTACTCATAACATGAAACAAATTCAGAAACAGTTGAAGATAAAGTAAACTAAAGGCATTCAGTATTACTCCTTAGAAATATTCATATATGACAGAAGACCATTTATATTTGATACAGGCATATTTACAAGTTATTACAACAATACCACAGTACAGATAGATGACACTATAATTGAGGCCTTCAATTCTGTGAAGGAAAAAAAAATCACTAGTCACTGTAAAACCAATGCCTTCTTTTTATCTTAGAATTTCTTGCTCTTTTTTTTTTAAATACTTTGGGACGAAAAAGAGCACATTTGGTGGTAGGATTCAGGATCTCAGTGCTTAATAAAAACTGGATATTCTTTAAAAAGACAACTAATTTTGTTTGTGAACATCCAAATCCAATCTTTCTAATACATAACTGGCTGTTTTCTTGAATATGACAACCAAATGCATATAGAATATAATGTTAAAAAAAACATGCATTTTACACAACAAAAGTTATTAATCTATATGTAGTAACATAAAACAATTGTTACCACAAGAAACAAGATAAAGAGCACTATCAACTAGTTCTTTCTTCCTTGGCTTATGATTTGTAAATCTATGCAATCAGGCAAAGCAAAAATCATCAAAGTTTAAAAAATGTTACTAAACCATACTGTCACTTCTATCAATTAACTTATAGATATAGACAAGTTGGTTCAGTTAGTTTTTGTGGTTAAAGTTTCTTCACTGATTAAGTGAATTAACAAAAAAGGAAGGAAATATAACTAGTTTGAGCAACACGTCAGATTTCTAAAATTTTAGTCATTCTCAAAAGCTGTTCCTGTAACAGCTGGTGTAATATCAAGCACCCTTTGTGACTCAACCATGGAGTAGGAGGTAAAGTCAGGGAAAAGAGCCTAGAGTTAATGTGGAATTTCAAAATTCTTAGGCCTCCTATACAAGTGTAAGTTTCTTTTTTCCGTGATTCATGGAGACATCTGAAAAAGCCCTGACAATAAAGCAGAATGAAAAACACATGTAATATGTTTGAAGTTTCAATGTCTGCTGCTGCCTGACAAGCATGAAGTATATTTAACCAAAGAGAAGGATGTTTAATGATCCTTTTCTTAGGTTCCTTAGGGATCTTTGCTCCCTAACCCGACTATGGGGATTTGAAGTAGAGGTGTTCTAAATTTGTATCTCATTACATATTCAGATACAAGGTAGAGATACATTTTCCTTCATAAAAAAACCTGAATTACCACCAGAACATCACAATCTTGCTTACAAAATGCAATGTGGACAAATGAAATTCCTGGTGGCTGACTGAAATGGGGGAAACTTTAGAATCTTAAATGTTTGAATTCCAGAAAAAAAAAAACCAAACCAGACCAAATAAAACAACAGATAATTATAGACAATTTTGGGTCATATCTTAAATAAAGTAAAATCAATATCCCCAAACAGAATCTTCATAGGCTCCTTGTTTTGTGCATCTTAGAAAGAAACTGGGATTCTAAGAGAGTGCGACACTGCCTTATTGCAATATAGAAAAGCCACTTCAAGGATCATGAGACCTCGGTTCAAATAGTCAATTAATAAAAAACATGCAACAGAACAAAGAAATAAACAGAGATCTCCATGTAAGAATACAGAAGACATCAGTAAATGAGCTTTTTCACGAGGCTCAGCAGTAGGGTCATTTTGAGGACTGGCCTTAGCACTTGCCTAGCAGGTCTAGAAAAGCAGTAGACAACAGAGGAAAACAATGAACAAGACTGAGACAGTGTTTTATTTAAGTTAAACTGGCTGATTACACAAACTATGATAGTGCTAATCCACCAATTTGAAAGAAATGTTCTACCAGCAAAAACTACCAAACATCTAAAGGTTATATGAGGATAACACCACCACAAAGCCCTCAAAGCCAATCACACAGAGCTCATTAGGACTACAAATAATCAGAAACCAATCAGCTACCACAACACGTACAACAACAGTAGCAAAGCTCCTTATAAATCAGTAACTGGCCAGTAGATTTTGTTTTATCCTTAAAAAAAAAAAAAAGAATAGAAAAAGTCTGAGTTCCTTCACTAATAGCTCTTGCTGAAGACACGAGAGAGAAATTCCCAAGGATCCGAGCAAAGACCAATTATAATCCAAATGCAAGAATATATTATACAAAGCTTCTCCATGGCCTTAGACTGAGGGGATGGCGAAGTAGCAGTGTCACAGATAACAACCAGAACCTTTTATATACAATTTATAGGAATTTATAAAATAATAACAATGATAAAAAGGCCAAAAATTTCCAAAGTTATAATTTACAGAATATTCTGTACAAAAAGCAGTCCTGAAAGAGAAAAGAATCTTGCTATGCTCAAAAGAAGTCCATAGCAGTTGGTCTTCTCTTTGGAGGTGCAATAAGCAATTTCTTAGTCACAAGGGGAGTTTCTGGGGGTGAACTCGTAGGTGTCTTCAGCACTCCATGGAGAGGCTTCTGTTCTGGATTAAAAGCTACTCGGGAGGGTCCTGTTGGACTTACCAAGATACTTTTGTCAGTCTTCTTGAATTCTGTAAGAAACAAAATGGAATTATATTTTGTCAAATGTTAGAGAAAAGAATGAGGCTACAGCAAACTGATTCACTAAAGCAATGTCTTTAAAATGCTCCCCATTCCACATCTCCCTCCCCAAAGGAATCTAGACTTGGGTTGTTCAGTTCCTAGGTTAAGATGGAAAAGAGCAAGAGCTTTAAAAGATTAATTCTGGGAACGAGGTTAGCAAAAGAAGGCAGGAAAATACCTGATCACTTGTCTCAAGACTATCATGTGTCATTTAGATTTTGTTCTAGTTTTATAATAGCAGGATAAATTTTAGAACAAAAGTTAAACAAATGATATTCTCCTGCAGCTTTTTCATTCACCACTTGACTCCAGCTTTAAAGAGCCTGAGATTAACTCTACTAGGAAAGGATCGGTTCTTAAACAAATACACAGTAACATCAATATTTCTTTTTTCCAAAGAATGCCTTAACACACCCCAACCCACCCTCCACCCCTCAATTCAAGTCTTTTGACTTTTTTCTGTTTATTGTCTTAGTCACAATAGGCGCAGCAGTTCAATTATTTGCTAGTATCTGAGTCCCACTGCTTACATGACCATTTGAGAATGATATAAAAGCTCTTAGGAAAAATTTGTTTTGTGAAAGGAAGTGAAGAGAAAACCTGGAAAACTCTAAGAACCTTCTTTTATTGCTTCACAATGGTACAGTCACTAAGTGAGGATAATCCATTGGAATGCTTACCTCTGTTAGAGAAATAAGATAAAAAGTGGAATCTCCTGACCCACTGTGAATTTTATATGCATTTTAATAAGATGCTTTTGGGGGCAGATATTCAACTCTTGAAAAGAGAATCCAAGTCCAATCTAAGCATATTTGCATAGACTTGAAATGCTCCCCATCCCCAAGACACACACCCCCTCTCTCACCTGTGGTCATGTTTTTGTTCAACCCAAAAGTGACCTTTTTGGAGCTGGATGATGGTTGCTTGTTCAACTGTAGAAGAGAATAAAAATGACAAGCTAGGATGTTTAAATCAGTTTTATATAATATTTTTGACATTTTAAATTTTTCATTAGATTAGCTAGTGCTTATTAGTACCAAAAAGATTATATACATAAGATCTTCCTGTTTTTTTGCGCAACATAATTTACTAGGAAGTAATCAAATTCTTATCTTCCTAGCAAAGACTACAGATACAAATTCTTCAGTAAGTAGTGAGTACAAGTATCATCATTAAGAAGAAAACTGGTTCTTGCGGGGAAGATTTAATAACTCCTATTCAAGTCTAAGAGTGTGGAAATCTTAATTTGGAGATAATCATAATCTCATGAAATTCATCTAGTTGGATATGATCCAGGTGAGCTACAGCTCTATTGAAGATATTTTCAAATATTATCTCTTTTTATAAATTATTATGGTACCTTGAACAAGATGGCTGAGGTAGAACAGACTATGGCATGGCCTACTATTTATTATATTATTCTGCTGTTGCTCAGTCATTTCAGTTGCCAACTCTTCGTGACTCCATTTGGGGTTTTCTTGGCAAAGACAATGGAGTGTTTACCATTTCTCTCTCCAGTTTATTTTACAGATGATGAAACTGAGGCACACAGGGTAAAGTGGCTTGCCCACAGTCACATAGCTAGTAAGTGTCTGAGGCTGGATTTGAACTCAGGTCTTCCTGACTTCAGGCCTGGTGTTCCATCCACTGCACCGCCTAGCTTCCCCACTACTGTACTATACCAATATACTATGTAAGTGGCCCAAGACACTAAGAAACTACACAGATGGCTGGTGGTTCAGATGAAGGCCTTCAGGTATCTAATTGGGAGGGGCCCACCAAGAAGGGTAAAAGGACCACCTAGGTATCCCCACTTGACGTCTCAGACCTTACAGACTCTCTAGCACTATGAAGTTGTCTTCACCTGGAGACAAACCGTCTTCACAAGGCAACAGAAGGAGACAGGGAAGCCGTACTCTCTATGTAAGTGTGTACATGTCATACACATACACCTCCTTGTATTGCTTCTTGAGAACCATATCCTATCCTTTAGGAAGCTCTTGCATACTCAGGCTTCAAGTACTCCTCTGCCTCCAATCAGAGCCCTGCTTAGGTTGGGCAGGAGGTGGTACAACGAACTATACTTCAGAAAAGGCAATTAAAAGGAGATTGGTTAAACGCCAGGATACACCTGGTATTTGTTTGTGTAGGAATAACAGGTGCTTTGGTGGGATAAATCCTACTGGTGTGACCAGGAAAGATGATCCATGGAGCCAAGGGTTATGACCTTCCACTGGATTTGTAAGACAGGGTTGAGAGAGATGAGGAACTTCAAGGAGCTATTCCTTACAGTAAGAGAGTAGCAAGGAAAGGAACTAGACCAACTTTGTCAGGAGTCAAAGGCAGAGAGGATGAAGATTCACCTTTTACCATCCGTTCCTTTCTGACTCCTTTCTCCCCCACCTCCATGACATTAGGGTCACTGGAACAGATCCAGGGAAACCAGAAGAACTGGATAATAACACAGCTGATAAACCTTACTGATGAATGGTTGAATAACAGAAAGCAGAAAACCCTGGAATCTCAAGTTTGGCAAGCTGGGTCCAGCTGGACTACTATAAAATTCCCAGGCAGGAAAGAGGCCTGCCTATTTATCACCATCCCCATCAAGTTAATTCCTAGGTTGGGACGATATCAATCAGGTCTCAGAGGTGGTACAATATTCTGTCAAGAAAGTGAGTCAGTTATATACCAAATTCCAACAGCAGCCACAGGCGAAGCTATGGGATACTGACACAAATCAGATGAATCCATCTGAGTGACTTTAAGCCTCTGGAAGTACTGATGACTTCATTGTAGCTGTAGCTAAACCACCTAACAGCTCATCCTATTCCAGCAGAGTGAGGTGTCAGTACAGAAAAATGTCTGGAAAAGGGGAACCTTCCCCTGCAAACCAAATCAATCCAGTGGGCTGACCCCTTCATGGGGCTGCTGTCTTGCTTGAATCACTGATGAATTAGACCTAGGAGAATTTCCAAACAGGAACAAACACCTGTGCGTATACTCTTTTCTCTCCACCTCCACCTGCCCCTCCCCCCAAAAAACCTAGAGTCTTTCTAAAGATCTCATTGGGTCTTACTAATGGCCATTCTAGGACCTAGCAAATACTGGTGCTCATCAATCTAGATGCAGGCAAGCCTAATTACTGAACATCAGGTCTGAGTGGTGGAAATAACTACAGTAATGATACCCTAGGCCAAACCCTAAATGAAAAAGGGGTCTAATTCCAACAGGAACTATGGGGTTAGGTTACTAAAACACTGGATGCTAAAGGAGGAAAAAGGTAGCAAGACAAGCAGTACTTGTGTGTGAAAGTTTCCAGAGATCACCCACCTTCCCCTGAAAGATGCCCTTGCATACAGATCTAAAAAATTCCAGAGGGGAGAATGGCCAACATCCATACATTTGACTGGTTTTAGCTCATTAGGGGATCTGGAACATCAAGATTTGAGAGGCTGGAGCAAACATGGAGCAAAGGACTTGAACTGTAGCAAAAAAGGGAGAATGAGTAGTCCTTGTCTCAAAAATTCAGGATGAGAGGATATAGGCTCTTTCCAAGTTTCCTTATGTCACTATCCTGCCAAATGTAGAGTATGAAACTGTGGCTGATGCTTCTCATTGGGCACTGTGCACTCTCTGCCACACTAAGGCCATCACCTCTATGCATTTCTTGAATATCTGTACTTCCTGCTGGATCAACCCCTTCAGCTTCCCATATGACGCCTCAAAGAAGCTGTCTACTGAGGACAGCTAGCGTTGATGGGCAAAGGAAATTCACTCCATCAATAATTATGCCTAAGGACTCAAAAATTGTCTGGGTAAACTGCCAGTTAAAAAAAATATCCTTGTTTTCCCTCTCTTCAGAAAAGCCCTGAAAGTCTAGGTATTTAGGTAAAAAATAAATAATTCTTAGCTTTCCTTCTAGGAATCACTATTTTTGTGACTCCTATATTTCTATCTTGTATGCAGGGGTGTGCTGGTAAACGTGTAACAACAGGTTTGGGGTTGGGAGAGAGGAATCCACATACAACACACTTTTAAGTTTAATCTGCATTATCAACATTTTCCCCATCACTCTCTTAAGACTAGACATCAATAAAATAATAAATCAACTCTAATTTGTAGCATTTGCAGATTTCCTAGGTAGAAAAATTCTGAAAATTTAACAACTGGTTCTCATACGAGCTGGTTCAAGATGACCCCAGAACACTTCTATCTGTAAATTTCCTGCTTTTAGATCTCAGGGTAAAGACCAAGTTTCTGAATGTCTCAGACTATGTAGCAAATATAAGAAAAAGTAAGTGCACCTTTACTTTCTGATGCTTTACATTAATCCATTCAAGCTGTCTAATGAGGATATAGAATGTCCATATTTCTCAAGACTTTCATTTGTTTCACAGGTTTCTTTAGGTGTGCCTGAGTAAACCAGAGGGAAAGAAGAGGTAGCTCTACTAGCCATTAGTAAAAAGCTCTTATATTACCAGGTAATCAGCTCATACTTTACACACTTCACTGGTTACCTTTTTCCAACTCTTCCCTTTTAAAGCTGCCCTTGAAATATATGTATGTGGGTATGGATGTGGGTGTGTGGAGAGGAGAAAAGGAGGGAAGAATAAAGTAAACAGGATGAATAAACAGGCTCTCCCAATCTTCTGTTGTCCTGAACTGTTTAATTAATAAAACCAGAACTACTTAACTTCACTGCAGTCCTTTATAATATCTTCAAATATTAAAATGCAGAAATAAGAAACTGATCCTTGAGTACGGTCTTACATAGATGCCTACGAATGTATATGTCTATATATGAGTATGATTATAGACAGATCTAAGTATATGTATGTGTGTATGTATATATGTGTAGGCATGTGCACAATACATAAACACACATATACACACTTATATACAGATATATGTCTACACACACACACACACACACACACACACACATCTCTGCACTTAACTACAGATTTTGGTGGGGGGAGAGGAGAAGGAAGGGGAGAAAAAAAGAACAAAGTAAAAAGTGCACAGCAGAGAATAAAAGACAGCTTACAAGAAAACAAAGAAAAGATGGACAGCTCTGAACACAATGTGTAGTATTTATCATATAGGCTTTCTTGAAATAGAAATGTATTGCTATATATTTTGAATCCTCTCATGTTTTGCTATACACATGGCAATGCTTTTTTCCTTTTCTTATTTTGTATATAAGTTTATGTTTCTTTTTCTTTTCTTATAGTTAAGAAAAAAGAAAGAAAATGATCCTTGACACTAAATGAGACTATAAGATAAGTAAAGGTAGTAGTTCTAACCTCACTTGGAGAGCAAATTAAGGGTAAAGTCAATAAACTCAGGTATCAGAAAAGATATTATTGTTATTCATATAGGATATTGGCAACACCGATACACACCTCAAACCAGTCAAGTTTTTATCTTTGGAAGTTACGCCTTTCCCTCTTGTGAATGACTGACAAATGCCAAGAAAGAAAACTAAAGACCCATACCTATTTAATGAAACACAAGGCTTTCATTCTGTACTAAGGCCTTGTGGCTATGTCACAAACAGTTCCCATTTAGTTTTGGTAATGATTAAATTCCAGAGAAGCCAACATTTTAGAAACTTTGCTTCTAAACCTTCTAAAGCTTGTTTCTATCTTCTGTTATCTTAGGATAAGCATAACTCCTCTAGACTCTAAATGAAGAGGACATGTGGGGTTATGTTCTATACGTCTGGTAGAGAGGTTGTTTTTCTTTCGACAACTGCTGCTTGAAACCCTCTATAAGCTTTGTACCCAGTCCTGGCCTTCCAAGTTAAGGACTTTGAAGTGAAGGAAGAGTGGAGTTGTTACTGACTTTCTAGTCAGTTTCAGTGTCTAGCCATCAAGTCCATTTGCAAAATTGTCACTTGTCACAAACTCAAACAAAGCTGAAACTG